TTTGGAACTACCATATAAACTATTTTCTAACATATATAAATGTAGGATCTTTTTTTTTTTGGACGCTTTGGATCGATTAATTGAAATGGTCACAAAAGTGTCTTAAAAAAAACAGTAAATATTACGAAATATATCAAACGTAAGACAAAACCAAACAGGACTTCATTGTATTTTAAATATCCGAGGCTATATAGAGCTCTGATTCATTTCTGCAGATTACATACATTTATATATTAAACAAATAGGAAAAAATAACTAGTTTCCTACTGACGAATGTTTATGAAACAACAAAAATAGCATCATATTCGGTGGTTGCTGATTGTGATGGAGTGTGTTGTGTGTGTGTGTGTGTGTGTCTGATGGAGTGTGTTGTGTGTGTGTGTGTGTGTCTGATGGAGTGTGTTGTGTGTGTTGTGGCAGCAGCTGGAGAGGCTGTAATGGGTAGAAGCGTTAATCAGATCAGGGCTCCGGGGCCCCGCGCGCTCAGAGCCCGACACAACCGGCGCTGCGCGGGACCTGTGCAAACTTAATCAAATTACACTCTCCTCTAAACTAATTAGCCGGCAATCTGCCACGCGAGCTGTCCCAGAGCAAGCTTTGAATTAGGCAGAATGGATTTTTCCCCTAGTCTTTCAAAAAGAGACAGAAGACAGAAGAGAAGCTGCTTGCGCTTTTAGGGGTCTTTCATTTATTTCCATGTTACGTTCATCTGAGAGCAAAGACTGTAGAAGCGCGCGCGTCTGTTTCCAGTGCTGTTTTTGGACATGTGTGGCGCACAGATGTTCCTGTTGAAATATGACGGGAAATGATGGGAACAGTAGCGTTCTGTTACATCTCTCGCTTTAACAGCAGCAGGTAACAGACACCTGACATCACATTCGCCCTCAAACACTAACGCACTCGGCTGCGCATATGCGCTCAGACAAGCTGTAATTACGCATTTGCTTTCATTAAACAGATTTTGCATAGTAAAAATAATAAGAGAGCGATGCAAAAAAGCGTAGACGGAATGCATGAACAAATGCGCATCACAGCGATCATGCAATAAACAAGAACGCTTCAAAAATAAAACGTGCAAGGAGGAATTAGTGAAGCTGTGTACAACTTTGTGCATTGATAAATGCATTGAACAACGTTTGCTATATAGGCCTAACTATATGTGATTATATAAAGTCATGCAGTTTGCAGTGTGAACACAATACTAGAACTGTAGCGTTCCATTTGCATGATAAAGCAAACAGAATTTACACATATAAAGCAATACGCAAACATTACACATAAAATAAATCAAACCTATTGACAAATTGATCAAACTGTCGCTTGCCAAAATCAGTTATGAAAACGTTATTTCTGAATGTGCTCTGAACGTTCTTTAGATGTTTTAAAAATGTTTTTTTTTCTTGGTAATCCAAATGTTAAGGGAACATTACATTGTATCATTTTGCAAACATTACGAGAACGTTACATTTGAACATTCTGAAACAAGTCGCAACATTTAAAAAACGTCAGAGAAACATCCAGCTGAAATAAAACGTTCCATGAATGATGTATCAGTAATGATTTTGTGCTAACGCTGTGCAAACATGATTAAAGATCAGATAACTCTGAATGCACGTTACTGGAAGAACGTTTGTTCATAAAGTTGAGAAGCTCCTCTGTTATCTGGGACAGAGAGAGACACAGAAGCGGGACATGCTGCATCTGTCTGTCTCTCAGATGCAGAGCTACAGGACTGTAAATGGTAAATCAATAATTCTCTCTGTTCCTGCAGGTTTGTCCGCTGAGACTCGAGGAGAAGAGAGAGAAGAGAGAGCAGCAGCCGTTAAAAGACACGGACACACACGTTAATGGACGAGAGACGTTCACGGCTGTGTGTGTGTGTGTGTGTGTGTGTGTGCTGGATCAGTTCAG